GTGCTGCCCCTGTCTGCTGAAATGGTCGCACCTGTGACTGAGGTGGAACTGGCCCCTGTCTGAGCTGGTAGAGTGGCTGTTGTGGCTGCTGAAATTGCCCCTGTCTGGGATGGTATGGAGGCCTCTGGAAGCCAGGTGGTCCCTGGGGAGCTGGTGGTTTGGGATTTGCCCCAGCCCAAGAAAAGTTAGGATGCTGGCGCCACCCCTCGTTATAAGTGTTGCTGTAGGGGTCGAAGCGCCTGGCATTACTGATAAAGTCCACCTGCTCCTAGGTAGTAGACGATTCCCTCATCGCCTGACAGTCCTCTACGGTGTGATGGGAGCTCTCACACCATTGGCAGTGCATCGCCTGCAGCTGTCCTGTACCTGCAATCAAACCAGAACGATCGATAGCTGAGACCAGCTTCGTTACCACCTGTACCAAATCAGATGACTGGGTGCCCACAGCATGCACACCCCATCCTGGTGCTCGTCTCGATCTCCTGGAAGTGCCCCAATCGTACCCGTTCTCCGCCATCTCCTCAAAGAGTTGATTCAGCTGTGGCGGTGTTTTGGTCAGCATGTTCCCACCACAAACCGAATCAATCAGCTGCTTGTCCTCCGGGAAGAGGGCGTGATAGAAGGTGCCCACCTTGAACGCATCATTGAAACCATGATTGGGACACCTGAGGAAAAGACTGGTGTATCTCTCCCAAGCATCCCTGATGGTCTCATCCTCATCCTGAGCAAAATGGGTAATTTGCTTCTGCAGGTCAGCTGTCTTGTATGGAGGATGGTAGCGGGTGAGGAACTTGTCCGCCAGGTTGGCGAACGTGGTGATAGATTCCGGAGGTCGAGTATCTAGCCACTCCTTGGCTTGCCCCTCCAGGGTGAATGGGAACTATCTCAGCTGGATGGCATCTGCTGGGACTCCATTGATCTTGATTCCATCAATGAGCTCATGGAATCGCCTGAGATGTGATCGGGGGCACTCCCCCTCTTTGCCACGGAACATCACCGAACCGCGCAGCATGGTGATTACTGAGGTGCTCACCTCAAAATTATTGGCTGGGACATGAGGGTGTTGAATGGGTGACCTCATGTCTGCAGCCCTGGCGGTCCAGTAATGTCCCATGGTCTGCTCCTCGGGATCGACCACAGCATGGCCCTGTGGATCAGCCATCTCCTCTTCTTCAGTGATCTGTAGCTGTGCTAGCGCCTCCTCCGCAGCCAGTCACGCCTTTAGAGCCCGCTTGAAGTTTCTGCAGGTTCGTTCAAGCTCCTGATCTAGTGGTAGTAGATCTCCCGACTGGCTACGGGTCATGCACTACCTGCACACAATCAGCAGAAGCAACCCATGAAGGCACACAGGTGGAAGAGATAAAATGCAGTAAATAAAAAGCTAGAGTAACAAATTCTCACGTTTCCCCAATAACCTAGAGGGGTCCCCGGCAACGGCGCCAAAAACTTGATGCTCTAAAACACAACACCAAACTGCGACCAAGTATAATCGCAGTCCGGGAATGCAGTAAAGTGACAAGTTATATTATCAACCCGGGGTTTAGATCTACTGCTACTCAGTGATTCTCTATTATCTAGCCAACTAAGTTGAGTGTTTGTTGTGTAAAAGCAAAAGCAGAAAGAAAGCAGGAATTGATACGGTTTTCTCAAGCAGGTAAGAGTCACTCGGGAATGAGTCCCCCTAGCTCCTTAGTTAGGTTTCAATTGTATTTCCCTGGGTTGATTTACTGTTGATTAGACTGCGGAAGATCCGACAGTAGCTTGGAATCTCTTAAGCTGACCAAGCCCTCTCAGTCTAACTACCCGGCAGACGACTAGTCTTCACCGGGATAGAGAGCTGAAGCAGTAAGAACAGAACTCTACTACTGGAATTAGATTCCAGTACAAAGCAGTAAACTGGATAACTCTCGTATAGCCAATCTCCTACTACCGAATGATGAGACTCTAGCAACCTAATCAGATTCTATCTATCTCAGATTGCAGCAGGAATCAGGAAAAGTTGATCAGACTTCAATTGACTCAATAAACATGCATCATTCGATTAAAATCAAACAGTAATATCATCCCAAGTCATTACAATCAATCCCTAACACATAGAACTAGGGTTCTTCATCCCCAAGTGAGAGAGAGGTTCTACTCCATAGAGAGAGAGAGAGGAAAACAAGATACAAAGCAGTCATACTCATAATTATGGGAAGAATCTGCTCTGGGATGATGATTTCCACTCCTATGACGATCTCCAAGCTTGATTTGATGAAACCCAGCTCCAAGATAGCTTCTACGATGTGTTCTTCGTCCTTTCTCTCTCTAGGGCTCTGTTTTTGCTCAAGAAATCCGAATCCTCTTCTTTGGCTCGAATCTGCCTTCAAAAACCCGACTCTGGGCGAAATACGGGCAGAATTACGGCCGTAATCACGGCCTGCCTGTAATTCGCCCAAAACGCGCGTTTTGCTTTACTCTGATGGAAGAGGAGCTACGCCCGTAATTTCACAATTACCGCCAGTATTTCATTAATTACGGTCGTAATTTGGTGGATGCTTGCCCGTAATTTTAGTGCCGAGAAGAATTCTTGGGAAAAGTGGCTCGACATTGGTTTTACGGGCATGCCCTGACCAATTACGGTCGTAATTTGGCAGGGGCTGCCCGTAATTTGTCCTGTGAATCACCATCTGACCTCCAAATGACCCGAAACTTGCGCCTACGCACCTCTTTACTTGCTAGAACCCGAAATACGACAAAACAACACAACCTAGCGTAAAATAGGCCAAGGAACAATCAATTCAAGCTGAAATGGACAGGAAACCAGAGTGAAAACACGTACAAATACGATGCTATCACGGTACAAGTTGATGTCCCCCATCCCCCACCACCATACGAGAGAAAGAAAAGCAACAAGGTTCGGGAAAGACCTCATGAGTCCGAGATAAAGCCGTTACCGGCGTGGAGAGTGCTGACCCCCTTGGTTTTGTCACACGGTGGCTGACTCGACTCTACTGTCACCCTAGGAACTGGCCAAGTGCAACCACTCCCTAAAGCGTAGTATAGCGGGTTTAGGTTTATATGTCAACCCGGGTCCTAGATTTGCTGACTACTCAGTGAGTTCGTGTTATCTAGCAATGAAACTGGGATGCAAGTCTAAACTATCAAACTAACAAAGCAAGTAAACTGTTGTATTCAGGTTAAAGAGGTCACCCGGATATGGTTCCCCCTAGACTGCAGTTAAGCCGGATTGTAATTACCAAGTTCAGTTTCTATGATGGTTATACTGCGGAAGGTTCTTAAACAGCCTGAAGTCTCGACTAAAGGTCTTCAGACCCTCTCAATCTGACTCTCTAGCGGGCGACTAACCTCCACCGGAGTCGACAGATTGAGGCCCTAAGAACAAAACCTCCACTACCGGAGTAAATCCGGTACAGAATAGTGAGTTGGCTCCTCGACTAAAGTCACCAACTCCCTACCTTCAATCAAGGATACTCTATTAACCTAGGCAGATATTCTCATTCTAGGTTAAAGCAGAAACAACAGGAATTTGATCAGGATTCAAGTCATTCAATCATTAAAACCTCAATCGAATATAATCAATCACAGAATCAGTACTTGGGTTCATACAATCAAAGCCTAACATACAAATCTAGGGTTCTCCACACCCAGATGAATGGGAGAACTACTCCATGGAGAAGAAAGCAAAAGCAGAATCAGACACGGAATTCATACTGCAAAGGATGGATTCCTGCTTCTGGACGTTGATTGGCACTCCTCCAAGCTCAAGCTGGCCTCCAATGGTGTTGAAGATCAATCTAGGGCACTTGGGAACTCTTGCTCGTCACTTTCTCTCTCTAGGAACTGATCTCTCTCTCAAAAACTCGAATCCCCTCGAATTGTGGCTGAAATTCTGCTTAAAAGGAGAAAATCCCGACTCGCACGGCCAGGGTGCACGGCCGTGCACATCACCATTCTGGCCGTGCACCTCAAAACGCGGCGTATCAATTAGTTGAACCTCAGCCAACTCGCACGGCCAGAATTGTATGTTGCACGGCCGTGCGTGGCCACGCACAATCCCGTGCGTGCCCACGCACAATCCCGCACGGCCAAACTGGTCACTTGCACGGCCGTGCGTGGCCACGCTGGTCTGCCCGTGCAGCTTGCTCAGCCTCTGTTTAATGCTTCGTTTCTCCCTCGTCCGGACTCCGAATCAATCGCCGTTTGATCCCAGACGCTCGTAGTCTCGTCCTCTTTCGTTTCATAACAAGCTTGCATGATTCTTTGTCCATAAAGTGAGGTAGAAATCCATTCTTCTTCAGGTCATGCCCGAGTTTCTTCTCTCGAATCGTCAATTGATCTCTGATTGACTTGAAACTTGCGCCTATGCTTCACTTTATGTGCTAGGACCTGAAATGGGACAAAGGAACACAACCTAGCATAAAATAGGCCAAAGACGCAATAATTCAAGCTCAAACAATCAAGAAACAAAGGGGAAAACATGTGCAAATACCGAGTCATCAAATCCCCCCACACTTAACCGTTTGCTTGTCCCCAAGCAAACCTAACTCAAACCAATGCAACTCTCCAGACCTCTATAGCAACAAACAACCTAGATCGTAGGTAGAGGACTTCCTAGATCATTTAGCAGCTTACGAGGTCAACCGACGCACAAGTCATCTCATAGCTTCTTCGGTCAGTCGGCATCATGGCAAACAGTGAACAGAGGACAAATGAATTGTGGATGAAGAGATTCTCAAAAACAAAAGATCATGGACTCACATTTTTCAAAGTGCTCGATTTTCTTTGAAGATGGTTGGAACCCCTTTTTTCTGTTTTGCTTGTTTTCTGTTATTTTTCTTTTCTTTTTTTCTTTTCAAGGGTCCCAACCTGCTCTTACCGGCCATGCCAGGAGCGAATGTCTCGAGCCTCGTGCGGGGGAAAGACATGTAAGGGGGCTGGAGGTAGTAGGTGGAAATTGGGAACGGATTCCCGTCTCCCCTTACACACTTTCGCCCTATTCGCACGGGAGACGTTTATTTTGAAGCACATTATCGAGCACCTGTTATTTTCAAAACATGACACAAGAGTCCATGACAGGCAGAGAATCCACAACACCACACAATTCAAAGGGTCCTAAGATCACTAATTCACTCAATCAACCAACACAATATGAAGAAGAAATGAGACTTCTTAAATGCATCAACATCCTCCATAGTGCTACACTACCTCCCTAGGTTGCACATTACTATAAAGACTGTCAATTCAAAGCATACTGAGCAGGAAATTGCATGGAAACACGTACTTGGAGCCCTCAAATTTAAAAATTTGGACAGTGGACTAGGCTCCAAGCACACAAACAGATCTAATGCAGTCAAAAGATAAACATCCCCCCACACTTAAGCTCGACATTGCCCTCAATGGAGAAGAGGGAAGGATAAGGGAACGATGTTACCGGTATGCACGGACTGCAGGGGACTGGAAACGGGCCAGTCGGAGCAAGCACAGCCAAAGGGGAACAGAAGAGCTCAAGCACAGTATGTTAGGTTCAATGGTCAGCCCAATAAAATATCATCCAAACCAAAAGAAAACAAACCAAACCCAAACCGGGTTACAATCCGACGCAAAACACAAGAAAGAAAATCAAACCGAGGTGGGGTTGCCTCCCCACAAGCGCTTCTTTACCGTCGTATTAGCTGGACGCCAATTGCGGAACTAAGGGTCCGCGAGCTCCACTGCTAACTCCGCACGTTCGACCTCATCTCCCAGGTAGAGCTTGAGACGATGGCCATTCACTTTAAACGGCTCAGTTTGCGGGTTAGCAACCTCGATCGTGCCATACGGGAACACCTGCGTGACCGTGTACGGTCCAGACCACCGGGAACGGAGTTTTCCAGGAAAGAGTTTCAGGCGAGAGTTATAAAGGAGAACTCGATCACCAACCTGGAACTCTTTCGGACCCCGCAACCGTGCATCGTGGAGGCGCTTCGTGCGCTCCTTGTACAGCTTGGTGTTCTCATAGGCGTGATAACGCCACTCTTCCAGCTCCAACATCTGCATTTTTCGCTCATCACCTGCAACACTGACATCCAAGTTTAGCAGCTTAAGGGCCCAGAAGGCCTTGTGCTCTAGCTCCACGGGCAAATGGCATGCCTTTCCATAGACAAGCCGGTACGGTGAGGTACCAATGGGCGTCTTGTAGGCAGTGCGATATGCCCACAGAGCATCATTGAGCTTGGTGGACCAATCTTTGCGGGATAGGTTCACCGTCTTCTCCAAGATCCGTTTGAGCTCCCGGTTCGTCAGCTCGGCCTGGCCACTGGTTTGAGGATGATAGGCCACGGACACCTTATGAGTCACACCATAGCGAGACAACAATTTATCGAACTGACCCTGGAAATGGGTGCCACGGTCGCTTATGATGGCTCTAGGTGTCCCGAACCGGGAGAATAGCTGCTTCAAAAAAACACAAACACGTCTAGCATCATTAGTGGGCAAAGCTTGCGCCTCAGCCCACCTAGAGACGTAGTCAACAGCAACAAGGATATATGTATTGCCAAAGGATGGAGGGAAGGGGCCCATGAAGTCGATACCCCAGACATCAAAAATCTCACAAGTAATAAACACATTCTGGGGCATCTCATCACGGGCAGAGATGTTACCTGACCTCTGGCATCGGTCGCACCGGCGTGCGAAGGCGTCTGCGTCCTTGAAGAGCGTGGGCCAGTAGAAGCCCGACTGGAGCACCTTCCTCGCCGTGCGGTTTCCTCCGTGGTGACCGCCAGCAGGTCCTTCATGACAGTGAGATAGAATGCCCTCCATCTCACTCTCCATAACACATCGACGGATGATCCCGTCAGCTCCGATCCTGAAGAGATGGGGGTCATCCCAGAAGTAGTGCTTCAGGTCGGAGAAGAACTTCCTCTTGGCGTGAGTGGTCATCCCCTTGGGCAGCTGCTGGCCCACAAGGTAATTCGCAAAATCAGAATACCAGGGGGTGACACTCTCCACCAGGCACATCATCATCAGCCTCTCATCTGGAAAGGAGTCATTGATCTCCTCCTCGAGGTTGTCCGCAGGGGGTGCGTCCAACCGGGAGAGGTGATCGGCAGCAACATTCTCTGCTCCCTTCTTGTCCCGAATCTCAATATCAAACTCCTGCAGCAGTAAGATCCATCGTATGAGCCTAGGCTTGGCATCAGCCTTGCTCATCAAGTATCGAATCGCGGAGTGATCAGTATACACAATCACATGGGACAAGACCAGATAAGGACGAAATTTGTCGAAGGCAAACACCACCGCGAGCAGCTCTTTCTCCGTGGTGGTGTAGTTCTCCTGGGCATCATTCAAGGTCTTCGAGGCGTAGTAGATAGGGCGGAAATGCTGATCACGCCTCTGCCCCAACACAGCTCCAACAGCAAAGTCACTGGCATCGCACATAATCTCAAATGGTAAGGACCAGTCAGGAACAACCATGATAGGAGCTTGTGTGAGCTTCTCCTTCAAGGTCATAAAAGCCGCTGTGCATGCATCAGTGAACTGGAAGGGGGCATCCTTCTCTAGAAGCTTCGTCAGGGGCAGAGCAATCTTGGAGAAATCCTTGATGAACCGCCTGTAGAAACCTGCATGACCAAGAAAACTCCGGATCCCCTTCACAGATGTAGGAGGAGGTAGTTTGCTGATAGTCTCGATCTTCGCTCTGTCCACCTCAATCCCCATCTTGGAGATCTTATGCCCAAGAACTATGCCTTCTCGAACCATGAAGTGACACTTCTCCCAACTCAGTGCCAGGTTCGTTTCTTCACACCGTTTAAGGACAAGTTCCAGGTTATGGAGACAGTGAGAGAATGAGTCTCCATAAACCGAGAAATCGTCCATAAACACCTCCATGATCTCGCCGACCAGACGGTCAAAGATAGCGAGCATGCATCGCTGAAAAGTAGCTGGGGCATTGCATAGCCCGAATGGGATCCTCCGGTATGCAAAGGTGCCGAAGGGGCAGGTGAAAGTGGTCTTCGCCTGGTCCTCCGGTGCAATAGGGATCTGGAAGTACCCGGACATCCCATCCAGGAAACAGTAGAACTCGTGCCCCGCCAGTCTCTCCAGCATCTGATCAATGAATGGTAGCGGGAAGTGGTCCTTCCGAGTGGCGTCGTTAAGACGCCGGTAATCAATGCAGACACGGTACCCAGTCACCGTGCGCATCGGGATCAGCTCATTCTTCTCGTTAGGCACCACGGTCATCCCACCCTTTTTGGGTACCACCTGAGTGGGACTGACCCACTCGCTGTCGGAAATGGCGAAGATGATCCCCGCGTCCAGTAGCTTCACGATCTCTGCCCGAACCACAGCCTCCAGGTTCGGTGTCAGTCTCCTCTGCGGCAGTCTCACTGGCCGCATCTCATCCTCCATCAGTATCCGGTGGGAGCAGAAAGAAGGGTTGATCCCCCGGATGTCTGTGATCTTCCATGCGAGGGCGCGCTCGTACCGCTTCAGCAAGGCCACCAGTCTGGTCTTCTGCTCGGGTGTGAGGGTCGAGCTGATGATGACTGGCAGCTTATTCCCCTCCCGGAGAAATGCATACTCCAAATGAGGAGGGAGGGGCTTAAGCTCCAGCTCTGGTGGTTCCTCCAAGGAAGTAGCGATGCGGGTGGAGGATGAGATCGGTTTAAACAGTCTGTCGCCCTCCAAGAAGGGGCCACTCTCCAACTCGGCCAACTGATCCGCCAGCTGCGGCTCCTGCGATGCCTGCTCACCTAGCAAAATACAACGCTCAAGAACATCGTCAGTACCCGCACTCGTGATGGCGAGTGCGGTCTCATAATCAGCAAGCATATCACAGTAATCTATGTCATCATGCAAATGAGGGTGTTTCCCATTCTCAGACACAGAAAAAGTAGCCTGTTCATCACCAGCACGCAGAATCAATTTACCACTATGCACATCAATAAGCGCCTTGGCGGTGGCGAGAAACGGTCTACCTAAAATCAAAGGTACATCCACATCCTCATTTATATCCAAAATAACAAAGTCCACAGGATATGTGAATGTACCTACATTAACAAGCAAGTCCTCAATGATACCCCTAGGATGCACGATAGAACGATCAGCTAACTGAATGCTCATCCTAGTAGTTCTAGGTTCACCTAGGCCTAGCTTCTTAAACAATTTATAAGGCATGACATTGATGCTAGCGCCTAGGTCCGCCAAGGACTTCCCTACATGCATGCTGCCAATAATGAGAGGGATAGTGAAACTCCCTGGGTCTTTTCGCTTCTCAGGCAGCTTGTTCTGCAGGATGGCAGAACACTCCTCGCTCAGCATCACTGTCGAAAGATCCCCAAGTTTCTTCTTGTTGGTGAGGAGGTCCTTCATGAACTTGGCATACTTGGGCATCTTCGACAGTGCCTCCACGAACGGCATGCTGATGTTGACCTGCTTCAACATTGCCATGAACTTGGCAAACTCAGTCTCCAGCCTGTCTTTATGCAGGCGAGTGGGGAAAGGAAGCTGAGGTACATGCTCCTTAACCACTGGCTGTGGCTTGGGAGCAGGCGTTGTTGTGTCTTCCCCCACGTCTGCAGTATCAGCTGGAAGTGTTGAAGCGGGTAGTGGATCATCTCGACTGGGCTGGGCAGGAGCAGCTGATGTGGTCTTGCCACTCCTGGTAGTGATGGCATCAAGCTGCTGGAGCTGGTGAGGATCCCGAGGATTCGGGACAGTGGTGGCAGGCAAAGTCCCAGGTGCCCTGGTGGTGTTCTGGCGGGCCAGGATGCCCACCTGGGTCTGCAAATCCTGCAAAATGGCACCCTGGTTCCTCTGACCTGCCTCCAGTGAGGCTACACTCTGATCCAACCTCGTGATAGTCGCCTGAGTGCTCGTCATGAATGAAGCTAGAATATTTTCCAGCTTCGTCATCTGAGTATCTGGAGCTGGAGCTGCTGCTGGCTCGGCAAACTGGCGCTGGGGCTGCTGGAATGGTTGCCCTTGCCTAGGCTGGTAGGGCTGCTGCTGAGGAACTGGACCCTGTCTAGGCTGATAGGGTTGCCTCTGCTGAAAGCCACCAGCTGGTGCTGGGAAACCAGGTGGCTTGGTGGTGTTACTGCCCCAAGAGAAGTTGGGATGCTGGCGCCACCCCTCATTATAGGTGTTGCTGTACGGGTCGAGGCGCCGAGCATTGGCGATGAAGTCCAACTGCTCCTGGGGAGTAGTAGACTCCCTCATAGCCTGGCAGTCTTCTACTAAGTGGCTCGAGCTCTCACACCACTGACACTGAGCAACTGGAGGTGTAGCCATACCTCTGCCCGGAAGAAGACTGTTGGGCTGCTTCAATGTCTGCACCAGTTCAGCTACCTGCTGCTCGAGTCCGGATCTGGACTCCATGGCGTGCACACCACGATCCCTGGAATGTCTGCCTCTGCTGCTCTGCCCCCAAGAATGATCTCTGGCAGCCAATGTATTAATCATCTGATTCAGCTCGGGTGGAGTCTTGGTGAGAATATCCCCTCCTGGGCATAAAGACTCAATCACCCTCTGGCTATCTGGGGAGAGAGCGCTGTAGAAGTTCCCCACAGTGAAAGCATCACTAAAGCCATGGTGGGGGCACTGCCAGAAGTAGCCCATGTACCGTTCCCAAGCATCACGGAGTGACTCATCTGGCTCCTGGCGGAAGTGAGTGATCTCCCGCTGAATCTCTGTAGTCTTCGATGCCGGATAGTACCTGTGCACGAACTTGTCCGCCAGATCGTCCCAAGAGGTGATGGACAATGGGGGCTGGGTCTCCAACCACCTCTTAGCATTCCCCGCCAGAGAATGGGGGAAGAGATGAAGGCGGATTGCATCATCCGGGACACCATTCAGCTTGAACCCGTTCGTCAGCTGCAGAAAACGGGAAAGATGCACCCTGGCCTCCTCATTCTTCAAGCCATGGAACTGGATAGAAGATGTGATGAGCTGAATCCAGCATGGCTTGATCTCAAAGTTGTTTGCTGGGATCGGCGGGTAGAGGATGACCGGGCGGATGTCAGCAATCCGCGGAGTGTAGTAGTACTCCAGGGTGGGACCCGGCTGCGGTGGATGATGAGCTCCATGATCCTGGGGTATGGGGTTGTTCCCCAGGACCTGATTCACCGGGGGATTCCCCTGGTGCTGATTGTAGTCTCCGTCCATTCCGTGCTCTTCTTCAGAATCGCTGCTCAGGTGGCCGTCTATGCGCTCTTCCGTAGCCAGTCTAGCTCGCTGTTGTCTCCTGAGCTGGCGACAGGTGCGGTCAATCTCTGGATTCAACGGCAGTAAACCTCCCGACTGGCTACGGGTCATGCACTACCTGCACACACTCAAGCAACAAACCCGTGAAGGCACAAGTGGGACAAAGAAAACAAAGCAAAAAGAAAAGCTAAATTAGCAGAAATCACTTTTCTTCAACAACCTAGCCGTCCCCGGCAACGGCGCCAAAAACTTGACTCGACTCTACTGTCACCCTAGGAACTGGCCAAGTGCAACCACTCCCTAAAGCGTAGTATAGCGGGTTTAGGTTTATATGTCAACCCGGGTCCTAGATTTGCTGACTACTCAGTGAGTTCGTGTTATCTAGCAATGAAACTGGGATGCAAGTCTAAACTATCAAACTAACAAAGCAAGTAAACTGTTGTATTCAGGTTAAAGAGGTCACCCGGATATGGTTCCCCCTAGACTGCAGTTAAGCCGGATTGTAATTACCAAGTTCAGTTTCTATGATGGTTATACTGCGGAAGGTTCTTAAACAGCCTGAAGTCTCGACTAAAGGTCTTCAGACCCTCTCAATCTGACTCTCTAGCGGGCGACTAACCTCCACCGGAGTCGACAGATTGAGGCCCTAAGAACAAAACCTCCACTACCGGAGTAAATCCGGTACAGAATAGTGAGTTGGCTCCTCGACTAAAGTCACCAACTCCCTACCTTCAATCAAGGATACTCTATTAACCTAGGCAGATATTCTCATTCTAGGTTAAAGCAGAAACAACAGGAATTTGATCAGGATTCAAGTCATTCAATCATTAAAACCTCAATCGAATATAATCAATCACAGAATCAGTACTTGGGTTCATACAATCAAAGCCTAACATACAAATCTAGGGTTCTCCACACCCAGATGAATGGGAGAACTACTCCATGGAGAAGAAAGCAAAAGCAGAATCAGACACGGAATTCATACTGCAAAGGATGGATTCCTGCTTCTGGACGTTGATTGGCACTCCTCCAAGCTCAAGCTGGCCTCCAATGGTGTTGAAGATCAATCTAGGGCACTTGGGAACTCTTGCTCGTCACTTTCTCTCTCTAGGAACTGATCTCTCTCTCAAAAACTCGAATCCCCTCGAATTGTGGCTGAAATTCTGCTTAAAAGGAGAAAATCCCGACTCGCACGGCCAGGGTGCACGGCCGTGCACATCACCATTCTGGCCGTGCACCTCAAAACGCGGCGTATCAATTAGTTGAACCTCAGCCAACTCGCACGGCCAGAATTGTATGTTGCACGGCCGTGCGTGGCCACGCACAATCCCGTGCGTGCCCACGCACAATCCCGCACGGCCAAACTGGTCACTTGCACGGCCGTGCGTGGCCACGCTGGTCTGCCCGTGCAGCTTGCTCAGCCTCTGTTTAATGCTTCGTTTCTCCCTCGTCCGGACTCCGAATCAATCGCCGTTTGATCCCAGACGCTCGTAGTCTCGTCCTCTTTCGTTTCATAACAAGCTTGCATGATTCTTTGTCCATAAAGTGAGGTAGAAATCCATTCTTCTTCAGGTCATGCCCGAGTTTCTTCTCTCGAATCGTCAATTGATCTCTGATTGACTTGAAACTTGCGCCTATGCTTCACTTTATGTGCTAGGACCTGAAATGGGACAAAGGAACACAACCTAGCATAAAATAGGCCAAAGACGCAATAATTCAAGCTCAAACAATCAAGAAACAAAGGGGAAAACATGTGCAAATACCGAGTCATCAAATCCCCCCACACTTAACCGTTTGCTTGTCCCCAAGCAAACCTAACTCAAACCAATGCAACTCTCCAGACCTCTATAGCAACAAACAACCTAGATCGTAGGTAGAGGACTTCCTAGATCATTTAGCAGCTTACGAGGTCAACCGACGCACAAGTCATCTCATAGCTTCTTCGGTCAGTCGGCATCATGGCAAACAGTGAACAGAGGACAAATGAATTGTGGATGAAGAGATTCTCAAAAACAAAAGATCATGGACTCACATTTTTCAAAGTGCTCGATTTTCTTTGAAGATGGTTGGAACCCCTTTTTTCTGTTTTGCTTGTTTTCTGTTATTTTTCTTTTCTTTTTTTCTTTTCAAGGGTCCCAACCTGCTCTTACCGGCCATGCCAGGAGCGAATGTCTCGAGCCTCGTGCGGGGGAAAGACATGTAAGGGGGCTGGAGGTAGTAGGTGGAAATTGGGAACGGATTCCCGTCTCCCCTTACACACTTTCGCCCTATTCGCACGGGAGACGTTTATTTTGAAGCACATTATCGAGCACCTGTTATTTTCAAAACATGACACAAGAGTCCATGACAGGCAGAGAATCCACAACACCACACAATTCAAAGGGTCCTAAGATCACTAATTCACTCAATCAACCAACACAATATGAAGAAGAAATGAGACTTCTTAAATGCATCAACATCCTCCATAGTGCTACACTACCTCCCTAGGTTGCACATTACTATAAAGACTGTCAATTCAAAGCATACTGAGCAGGAAATTGCATGGAAACACGTACTTGGAGCCCTCAAATTTAAAAATTTGGACAGTGGACTAGGCTCCAAGCACACAAACAGATCTAATGCAGTCAAAAGATAAACATCCCCCCACACTTAAGCTCGACATTGCCCTCAATGGAGAAGAGGGAAGGATAAGGGAACGATGTTACCGGTATGCACGGACTGCAGGGGACTGGAAACGGGCCAGTCGGAGCAAGCACAGCCAAAGGGGAACAGAAGAGCTCAAGCACAGTATGTTAGGTTCAATGGTCAGCCCAATAAAATATCATCCAAACCAAAAGAAAACAAACCAAACCCAAACCGGGTTACAATCCGACGCAAAACACAAGAAAGAAAATCAAACCGAGGTGGGGTTGCCTCCCCACAAGCGCTTCTTTACCGTCGTATTAGCTGGACGCCAATTGCGGAACTAAGGGTCCGCGAGCTCCACTGCTAACTCCGCACGTTCGACCTCATCTCCCAGGTAGAGCTTGAGACGATGGCCATTCACTTTAAACGGCTCAGTTTGCGGGTTAGCAACCTCGATCGTGCCATACGGGAACACCTGCGTGACCGTGTACGGTCCAGACCACCGGGAACGGAGTTTTCCAGGAAAGAGTTTCAGGCGAGAGTTATAAAGGAGAACTCGATCACCAACCTGGAACTCTTTCGGACCCCGCAACCGTGCATCGTGGAGGCGCTTCGTGCGCTCCTTGTACAGCTTGGTGTTCTCATAGGCGTGATAACGCCACTCTTCCAGCTCCAACATCTGCATTTTTCGCTCATCACCTGCAACACTGACATCCAAGTTTAGCAGCTTAAGGGCCCAGAAGGCCTTGTGCTCTAGCTCCACGGGCAAATGGCATGCCTTTCCATAGACAAGCCGGTACGGTGAGGTACCAATGGGCGTCTTGTAGGCAGTGCGATATGCCCACAGAGCATCATTGAGCTTGGTGGACCAATCTTTGCGGGATAGGTTCACCGTCTTCTCCAAGATCCGTTTGAGCTCCCGGTTCGTCAGCTCGGCCTGGCCACTGGTTTGAGGATGATAGGCCACGGACACCTTATGAGTCACACCATAGCGAGACAACAATTTATCGAACTGACCCTGGAAATGGGTGCCACGGTCGCTTATGATGGCTCTAGGTGTCCCGAACCGGGAGAATAGCTGCTTCAAAAAAACACAAACACGTCTAGCATCATTAGTGGGCAAAGCTTGCGCCTCAGCCCACCTAGAGACGTAGTCAACAGCAAGGATATATGTATTGCCAAAGGATGGAGGGAAGGGGCCCATGAAGTCGATACCCCAGACATCAAAAATCTCACAAGTAATAAACACATTCTGGGGCATCTCATCACGGGCAGAGATGTTACCTGACCTCTGGCATCGGTCGCACCGGCGTGCGAAGGCGTCTGCGTCCTTGAAGAGCGTGGGCCAGTAGAAGCCCGACTGGAGCACCTTCCTCGCCGTGCGGTTTCCTCCGTGGTGACCGCCAGCAGGTCCTTCATGACAGTGAGATAGAATGCCCTCCATCTCACTCTCCATAACACATCGACGGATGATCCCGTCAGCTCCGATCCTGAAGAGATGGGGGTCATCCCAGAAGTAGTGCTTCAGGTCGGAGAAGAACTTCCTCTTGGCGTGAGTGGTCATCCCCTTGGGCAGCTGCTGGCCCACAAGGTAATTCGCAAAATCAGAATACCAGGGGGTGACACTCTCCACCAGGCACATCATCATCAGCCTCTCATCTGGAAAGGAGTCATTGATCTCCTCCTCGAGGTTGTCCGCAGGGGGTGCGTCCAACCGGGAGAGGTGATCGGCAGCAACATTCTCTGCTCCCTTCTTGTCCCGAATCTCAATATCAAACTCCTGCAGCAGTAAGATCCATCGTATGAGCCTAGGCTTGGCATCAGCCTTGCTCATCAAGTATCGAATCGCGGAGTGATCAGTATACACAATCACATGGGACAAGACCAGATAAGGACGAAATTTGTCGAAGGCAAACACCACCGCGAGCAGCTCTTTCTCCGTGGTGGTGTAGTTCTCCTGGGCATCATTCAAGGTCTTCGAGGCGTAGTAGATAGGGCGGAAATGCTGATCACGCCTCTGCCCCAACACAGCTCCAACAGCAAAGTCACTGGCATCGCACATAATCTCAAATGGTAAGGACCAGTCAGGAACAACCATGATAGGAGCTTGTGTGAGCTTCTCCTTCAAGGTCATAAAAGCCGCTGTGCATGCATCAGTGAACTGGAAGGGGGCATCCTTCTCTAGAAGCTTCGTCAGGGGCAGAGCAATCTTGGAGAAATCCTTGATGAACCGCCTGTAGAAACCTGCATGACCAAGAAAACTCCGGATCCCCTTCACAGATGTAGGAGGAGGTAGTTTGCTGATAGTCTCGATCTTCGCTCTGTCCACCTCAATCCCCATCTTGGAGATCTTATGCCCAAGAACTATGCCTTCTCGAACCATGAAGTGACACTTCTCCCAACTCAGTGCCAGGTTCGTTTCTTCACACCGTTTAAGGACAAGTTCCAGGTTATGGAGACAGTGAGAGAATGAGTCTCCATAAACCGAGAAATCGTCCATAAACACCTCCATGATCTCGCCGACCAGACGGTCAAAGATAGCGAGCATGCATCGCTGAAAAGTAGCTGGGGCATTGCATAGCCCGAATGGGATCCTCCGGTATGCAAAGGTGCCGAAGGGGCAGGTGAAAGTGGTCTTCGCCTGGTCCTCCGGTGCAATAGGGATCTGGAAGTACCC